TGGGGAGGAAAATGTATTCATTCACAGAGTAGCCATGTTTACAGAGGCAATGAATAATAAGGAAGTAATGAAGTAATAAACTAATCGTAGTATTCACAAACATCTTGGAATTTCACCGATCCCCAAAATGCATTTTTCTACATTTTAACTTCTCTGAAATTGAGATATATCTCATAATAGTATCTACAAACTCTAATTTTTTAGCTTTCTTAGCAGTTTATAAAGTAATAGTGGTCCTTAGAATCCATGATATCTTAGAGTTCATAGAAAACTTGTTGATTGTGAGGATTGAGAAAATAGCCAAATGTCAGGAAGTACTCTTTATAAATTAGAAAACTAAGGGAATGGTCACCTAAGTTTGCTAAGGAAACTTAGCATTTTTATCTTGATTTTTTTTTTCCAGAAGTGGCATACATATCTCATTCATAGCAACTTATTTGAAAGAAAAACCATGCATTAGTAGTAGATCTTTTATCTATCTATTCATACATTCATATACATTCATTTTTAGAACATCAATTCGAATGCAAAGTGTAATTCCCTTATTTAACACTCTTTTGTGGGTTCTCCAGTAAGCTTCTGAGGGTAGTATAAGAGATGCTTCTTTCCTCTGGCTCTTGCCTTTTACTCCTGTACCATTTCTTTCCTTTCCCCCACAGGGGATCACCATGCAGCTTCTGGTTCCTGTCTTTGCATATCCCAGATTCCCTCTTGCAGTACTTTATATCCTCCATCCCTTTGGTCCAGCAGGTGCATGCACTGTCTCTGTTCCAAGCCTTTGCTGAAGCCCTTCTTCGCCTGTGATGCCTGCCCCTACCCTCTTGCTGTCCCTCAAACACAGAGCTCATCAGTTCTTTCTGAGTGCCACAGTGTAAATTGCACTTTGCTGACTGTTATATCTTTTGCATTCTAAATTTAATATGTGACTGTTTGTGTCATCTTTCACATGCCTTGCAGTATTCACACTCCATAGCCAAGACTTTGAAATATAGTAAATACTCAATAAAGTTTGTCAAATGAACAAATAATAAAGGAATATCGGTATATATGTGAAAAGGCTGTTTATATCCTCCTTATATTGTGATTATATATATATATATAAGCATACATATATACATATATTCATATATTCTAATCCTAACAATAGGTAAAATGATGGAGACGCAATTAAAAATAAAACAAGACAAAATGTCTTTCTGTTCTACCTTCCTTAGGGGCAAATTTCTAGTTAAAAAAGCACAAGTGCACAGAACCAGCTTAATATTATATTGCAAATATAATATTAAAGAATCCATTTTTAGAAAAGGGAGGCATTACATTAACTTGTATCTGAATAGCTACTTTCACCCTCACAGGTGTTGTTTAGTCGTTTTTCTTCACTAACCTTTGATTCACTGCTTGTCAGACCAACAACTCCCCAGTGCTAGTAATACAGTTTCATAAGGAATAACTAAGATTGAAAGTGCTTAGAAAGTCACTCCATTTGGAAAACCCATCAGGGCTGGATTTCGAAATATACCATCGCATTCTCCTAGTGATTATTAATGAAAGATTACTCCCTATTCTCTGATCAATACAGATTATTTTCTTAGAATCATGCATGAGACTGTAGTGAACCGCCAATACTGTGAAATGATGAAAATAAAACTCTGGTCACATCATAAGGACCTTATCTCCTGGTGAGCAGTCTTATATTGTAAGGGATGTATTAAGAATAAGGCAGGGGAGAAAACCTATATGGAAGGGAGCTATTATTAGAGGTGAGGTGTGTGTGTGTGTGTGTGTGTGTGTGTGTGTATGTAAAATCTATGAAGACTTTCTTGTCTGGATGTTCTTTGAAGTCGATCACTTTCTACTTACAAAAACTGGCCACTATAATTAGCTATGTTTCCATTTTAGTGGTGACCTCCTTCACCTTATCTTAAATCATGTAAAGATGGAGGGCCATTTGTGAGATAAAAGGTTTACTCAAACCAGTTCTCTGACCTGGATATCATCAGTTTGGCAATCATAAATCCACAAAGAGACATCGTTGGTGTACTTCTTAAAGGCTATGTAAGAATTTTTTCCTTTTCTGTGGAAAGAGACTGATTTTCTCTCACTTATACCCTGGGAGGATGCTACAGAATGTATAGGAGTTAAAGAGGAAGAGAAAAAAAAATAACAAGGGTTTAAGAAACATGACTACCAATTTTAGCACATGCACCCACACACTACATGCAACGGAATAAGGGGTATAGTGGACAGTTAGTGGAAATTATTTTCTGGCTGTAATCTCAACTTTGCCATTTGCAAACTATGTGGGTTTGGACAATTGACCCAATCTCACTCAGTTTCAGCATCTGTAAAATTAGATAGTACCCTTCTTGTAGTACGGTAAGTAGAAGGAAAGATATATATATGGAACACACAGTGTTTGACACATAGTAAACTGTTAGCAACTCTGGTTTGTAAATATTGTTATAGTAGCTAATATCATTATAGCAGTTTCTTGACCTTTTCAGCACAGCTAAGGATTTTAGTAGCAGTTTTTATTTTTACAGAGTCCTGTGCTTCGGATGGGGTTTCTTTGCTTTGCTGTGCTTTTCCATTTTTCTGTTTCAAGCTTTCAGTGCAGATACCAAAATGTTTTAATCTAATTCACTCATACTTCCATTTTTCAGGGTGATTTTCAGCTTCTTACAGTGTGTGTTTCTCATACTAACTTAAGAAAAATACACTAAAGAATATTTTAAGTGAATTTAATTGAATTGAGTACAGTTGACCCTTCAAGCATTCATACTTGACCTTGAATAACTGGCCTACCTTTTAACTAGTAAATTCACAGTACCTATACATGTAGTGAGGTAAATTGTAGAATTCTATTTTCTCAATGGTCTTCTAGAAGTTATTTATCAAAGGTGCATGTAATTAGAGATCACGCTTCCCAAAAAATTGCCAAGAAATAACAACAAAGGATTGAGAGCTGAACATGATTCTTTCACCATTGTTCTATTTCTGTAGGACCAAGGGTACATCTCATCCAGGTACTTAAACTCTTCATTATTTCATCGAAGGATGTAGAGATGACATTGGTGGTGATAGAAGGACGTGCTAATAGGAAACATTTCTATAAAGGGAAATGATATGACTTTGCAATGCTCATTCATCAGAGGACGAAATCTGAGGCTCACTTGATGGCCTGAAGAGGGAATATCTTACCTTCTGCAGGTGCAAAAGAGGGACATATCACAAGGCGTGCCAACTTTTCCTCAGTCCATCCAGCAAGCACCTGCTTCAAATTCAGCTCTAAGGAATATCTGGGCTGCCTTAATGTCAGCCTTGCTGCTCTTTCTGTTCATTTGCCAATGAAAATTTCACGAATTAAAATGTGTTTGGTTCCTAAGGGAATTCCTTGTAATATAAAATGCAGTCTCCTAACCCTGTTTGCCAGTGCCTTCTCAATAGTAGCATCAATGTTTTGTGATCTTTGGAACTATTTGGGATTAAAGAAGAGGGGCAGGGAGATAAAGACGTTAGTGTTCATCAATTGGCTGTATGCCGAAAACACTGGTAAAATTATTGACTATTTGTGATCATTTTCTGAAGGTCTAGAATTTATACCGGATGCACTTATAAACAGTTTTAAGGGAAGAAATGCCCAGTTCTCACAAAAGTATGCTCTGAATTTGAACTTGTTACAAGTTTGCACGATTTTTTAAAAAACTTTTTTTTATCATAAAAGAGTTCTTATAAGATTTTATTTCTTCCATAATTCTTGTTCCTAAAAGTGGTGTGTGTGTGTGTGTGTGTGTGTGTGTGTGTGTGTGGTGCGCACATAACCATTAATGCGTGGGGTTAGTCTTAATGTTATAAACACTCTAGAGTGTCTACCTTCCCCTGGTATTTATTATAATAAGAACCAAAGAAATAATCCTTTCCAAGTGTGTGTGCTGAACACGCATAAGTCACAAGACACCATAGTGTGCCATATAAGTTACAGTAATTTGGGTTCAGAGGACTCCCCGCTCTGATGGGCTGAGAAGGAAAGAAAGAAACAGAGTATATAAAAGAAGCAGTGGCATGAAGACACGCACACACAGCAGTGCTGGGAGGCAGCAGAGTAGGAGAGGGCGGAAGGGAGATATGGGTTAATCAGGAGTTGCTATCTGGGGAAGATTGCCCAGGCCCTGACTGACGCCTGACATTGATTAATCGATATTCCATCCTAGTGTTTAACAAGTGTTCCATCCAAAAAGTCTTCTGTAATATTTAACTTCACTTCCTTCGGCTTCAATTTATGCACATTTCTTTTGTTCTCTCTTCAGGCGAGCTAGACAGCGGCCAATAACAAAACACTTTATATTCATAGCTAAAGAGGTTTTTGTTTGCGTGTTTGGTCATTCTTCAGTCTTCTCTAGATTAAGGGAAACAAACAAGTTTTTATTTTAAATGATTAAATCATTCCTCAAAAGGCCTATTTAATTTGACTGCTTAATAATTAATAAGCCTTGACATTGAGCTTTAAGTGTTTACTCTTCGGAAAGAAACTTAATCTTGACAATGATGTGGAAAGAATTATTTGGTTTTATTTCGAAATGAAATTTTGGATCCAAAGCCCAGGAGAATACTGTTAAAATAAGAAGTCTGTCAAGTAAAATGAACATTAGGATTACTGAGATTACTGAAGTTAACAATAGCACTTATCCATATTAATCATGTTCATAAATCATATTTCTCATTGCGTTCGAATGATTTTGAAAACCAAAGCTAATGTCTGTGTTTCTATTTAATAGTATTAGGATATGATTCAAGAATATTTTGGATAAACATTTTAAACTTTTGTTCGTTTCCTAAAGGCGTCTTTTTCTTTTTTTGGCGCTAAAGCTACCTTTTTGTGCCCCTGTGTACCATGCAGAAATTGGTCTGCAATACATGTGGAGTCTCCAAGGGTATATTTAAATTTAGTAATTTTATTGCTAACTGAAGTTCATCTGCACTGTATGTGTTCTTTTCCCCAGGAAATTGAAGTAGCAGTTCAAGCTAAACAGCCGGATGTGGAAGGGATTTTGTCTAAAGGGCAGCATTTGTACAAGGAAAAACCAGCCACTCAGCCAGTGAAGGTAATGAAGCGATATCCATTACCTCATAATGGGTTATGCTTCCCCTGTTGTACATTTGCCATTGACGTGGTCTATTTATAATCAATGAAATAACTTGTAAAGAAATATCGTCCATACCGCAAGAGCAGAGGCTGAGCTGTCTTTTTGATCAACATATCCTATTTATATAGTGTGATCTTAAGGCTATTAACGAGTCATTGCATTAAAGGACTCATTTCTGTCCCGGTGTGCTGCCATCAATACAGAAAGTAGTCCCACCTTCAAGGTAGATTAAATTCTTTGAGGCTTTATTGCTTTGCTTGCCAGCCTTGATGCTTTTCATATTGTTTGGCTTAATTCAAATCAAGCTACTGCATCATACTGTCTGTCTCCAACAGCTGTAAAGAATCACAATATGGTCCGTGACCTTTCTTTTCTCTGTTACACTCTTTTCTTATGAAAGAGGAAAATTGGCATTTGGGCTTTAGTACTTTATTGGGTCAAGAATTTTTAGTGAAATGTCATGTAATTACTTCTCTCTTTGGTAAAAAGCAGGCCTGGGAGATAGCTTTCTACTTCTTTCCTTTCCTCGTGTACGTTTTGAAGTCTAGGACACATTTATTAGCAGGCTATTACATGAGGAGAGAAATGGAAAGCCAGCTCGGTTTTCAAAAAACATGGCCAATCAATGGCTTCCATTTGCAAATGAGAGTCCAGTGATAAATAGACGTTAGGTGTAGGTTACCTGATTTTCTCTACCTGACCAAAATTATAACGGGTCCCATTATGATGAAGGTTCCAGAGAGCCTGTAATGGTGGCTGTTTATTGATCAGTCCTGGTTTCTCTAGCTAACATTGCAGTCTGAGATTTAGTGAGCCTCACCCTCATGTTTAAAACTGCTCTAAAACAGTGCAGGTCAATAACCTCATTATACAGAACTAGTTTGTCCTTGCAAACATTACCATGACTTAGACTTTGTCTCTAAGGTCACTGCTTATGCTTGGTCCAAGGTTCATTTCTAAAAAATGTTTGTTTTTCTTACAGTTTACAAGGCCCTTTCCTTAGGTAAATGTACAGTTTTAGCTTAAACATAATGTCCAATGACCAGATGCTAAAAGGCACAGATTTGTGTGTAGATACCAGTAAACATTTACTCAGGAATGCATTGTCACCATTCCTTATATCCAAAATGATATTAATAATTTGCATCCAGTTCCAAGCCCAGGATGATAATATTAATGAAGTAACACTGTGTTCAGTATTTAGATTGGAGAGCTGGAGAAGGCCCGAAAGCAGCAAATTTCCAGGGATTCTGCTGATGCTTTCCAGAAAGCCAGTCCCTAAGCAGACACTCTCCTTGGTTATCAGAGTGACTCTGGTGGCGAGCAATGAAACATACAAATGGACTGTTCCATAGGTCTACTCTGTCTGCTCTTGTTTGATTGTCAAAGACTCTATGCCGGGTTTGACACAATTGTTACAGATTACAAATAAGCATTGAAATTGTCTTTTACTTCTGTGCCTTTGTAAAAAAAAAAAAAAAGAGAGAGAGAGAGAATGAGAGAGAAAGAGAGAGGGAAAATTCTTAATTGAAAGTCAATGAGAATTTTTTTTTTATCGTATGTAAACAATCCAAGCAGTTGATGCTAATTTATCACACCTCCCACTCAAGCCTTCAACTCCTGGGCCACTTGAAGACCAGAACTGTCTGAATGAGCATCACTTACTTTCTGCCTTCCCATCAGTGATAGAGAAGGGGAATTATCTTCCTGAAATAAAAGAAAGAGCAAGGAGATGGTAACTTTCCTTCTCATCTGCATTCCTTAAAACCACTTTATAGAGTCAGCCCTCTCTTTCCTTCTCTCTCTCTCTCTCTCTCTCTCTCTCTCTCTCTCCCTCCTTTCCCATTTCCTTTTAAGTCAGCTTATTTGGGAGAAGCAGAACTTAAGTGAAAACTCATCCCTGTTCTACCATTTATCCCTTGGGTTGAGAGAAGAATCACATCAAGTTGATAATCAAGAGTCAAAAGGGAAGGATTGATCTGGGAGAGTGGGGTTGTGGAGAAATAGTTGATTCACATGCAGCGTTTGATACAGACCATGACCTTGGAAACATCTGAAGATGAGCTGGGGGTTGTGGTAGCCGGAAACGCTAGAGGCTCAACAACTCCTTCGTAGTTTAGAATATGGAACCCTGCAGTACAAGGCAACAAAATGTTGGGACTGTTTAAATCTCTGCATGAATCAAAAACTGCTTTTTTAAAGATTACAAGATGATTTTTCTGAAGGGTGATCCATTGCTCTGAGTCCATAAACACAGCCTTTTACAATTTTCATTTTATATACCCAACTTTTAAAAATTGTGCTACTCCTAATGCCTTTTTCTCCTTAACTTTTGGGTTTCTCACTCCTTAATAGAAGTGTAAGGAGTCTGAGTAGCCTGCAGCACATTTTCATGGAAAAAGTTTGGTTTTGCATTCGGGGAAGTTTCATTTGGAAATGGTAACAATTATGAAGAAGAAGGTGACATTCTTAAAAAAAGAAAATGAAACTTCTTCATGGTGTTTATATAAGATCTAATATTTAAATGTGTAATTGGTATGTCCTCTGCATACAGACATTCTAATTGAGGACACAGCGGAGAATGATTCTGGTTCTTAGGAAATGGTCTATTGGCACGTCCACATTCTGCATCAGACAGCCTGTCTGTTCAGCAACTACACTCACGTCCCCAGCTTTCTCTTTGGGACCCGGGCTCATCCTTGTTCACTTTATTCCCCCCTTTCCTTCACTTCATCAACTTCACTAGTATTTCTTTAATTTTCAAAGATAGTAAATTTTTAGTTTCCTTTTTGTCTCATCCCTGACTAACCCACTTCTTCCTATTTTCTTTGAGAATTTCCTCTTAAAGATCAAGTATGTATTAGGTGACACTTCTACTACTGACATAAACATAACACCAGATCTCTGATGCAACATTGCTGCAAAATTTTAGAATCATATGATTGAAGAAATAAGCATCCTGCTTTTCCTTTCCATCTCTTCTTTCTTTCTTCCCGCTTGAAACACACACACAGACACCCATGCACATACACACAAACACGCATTTTTATTTCACTTGATTTGCATATGGTTCTTTCATCTTCAGAAGTTATTGAAGACTGGTCAGATATATTAGATAAATTATAAAGATTTTGCTTAAGTTATCCCTTTGGTAATAATACTTTATGATAATGCTGGGTTTTTTTAAAATGTTTATTCTTTTTTAAAATTTAAATAGTTTATTGTCAAGTTGGTTTCCATATAACACCCAGTGCTCATTCCCACAAGTGCTCCCCTCCATGCCCATCATCCCCTTCCCCTCCCCCCAGCCCATCTGCCCTCAGTTTGTTCTAGGCATTCAAGAGTCTCTCATGGTTTGCCTCCCTCCCTCTCCCCCACTATTTTTCCCTGTTGATAGAATCTTTTTTAATATGGTCCACTTTCCACAAAGTAATTTTGCAGTTTAAAAGCAGCAATAACAGCTGCCTTCAGTAACAACAATATTGACAACTACCAAAAAAAAAAAAAACTTTTTTTTTTGTTTTTTTTAAGTGTTTTTAACTCTCTTTTGAACTAAAGCAGTTAGAAGACATTTTCTTCTATTGGTTCTCATTCTTTAACTCAACTTGGAGCACAATACTTTCTGTTAAAATTTTTTAAATGTGTGTATTTTGAAATACTTTTATCCTCTTCCATGTATTAGAACTAAGAGCATTAATGGAATTTTAAATGTCTTGCTTCCTTGCTGAGGTGATGAGGTGAAACTAGCTGGTTTGCTCTGATACCTTTTAGATTATAAAAAAAATCTGGTTAACATGAATCTAATAAGATATTTTATTAATATTCTTCAATTCTTTTTTTACTGTAACAGAAAAAGTTAAGTGTTAGGGGCATTCTGTATTTGGTTAAAATGTTCCACAACAACCTTTAACACAAAATAATTGCTGTAGACAAACGGTCAAGAGGGCAATTAGAATCTTCCAGGCATCATTTCCTCAAATATAAGCCGCAAAATGACAGCATCATTAGTCACTTTTGATTAAACCAGAGATGTTTCAGTTTCCCAGCTGTTTTGTTTTTAATTAACCAGATTAAGTTTGTTTTTCTTCCTCAACAAGTTTGTTCTACCACTAATATCAATATCTTAACATCTCCAAGAACTTCCTTAGGTTTTTTGTTGTTTTTTTTTTGTTTGTTTGTTTGTTTGTTTGTTTGTTTTTGCTTGATAATCTTTACTATATTTCTTAGAACAGATGTGTGTCTGAAGATTTGTATTTGGTACAGCAGGTTGAGTGGTGCCTTGTTGGTCAAACCATTGCCTAATTAAACATCACACTTATAACAATATCTGGCTTTTTTGAATCCTTTGTCAGGCATACGATCTCATTTACCTGGTACAATTTTTTAACATCGGAAATCAATAGAGAGATAACAGTCATGAGTCTTTCCTCACCCCACCCCCAATGTGAATAGGTCTATTTTGACTCACACATTTAGTGAATACAATTTCCATGTCGGTACTGATAGAAAAAGCTGGGAGAAGAATTACTGAGAGATGTTAAAATTTATTAATACAAGAGTAGCAGAATTTCATTTTTTTAAATATAAGATAGCTTTACACCCAAGGAAAGTTTTAGGCTATGAGAAGTTGAATAAATGCTAATCACACATGCTTGAAAATAAGAAGAGCCCCATTTGCCCATTGGGAAAATAAGTTTATAGTAGATTTTTGAATGGTTTATAAACATTTAAGAATGTGGATGAGACCGCAAATGTCTAATTATATTTAATTTCTTAATTGAGCAGCACTTCCATATTTTAAGTACCATTTTATAAAGTAACTCACTTTTTAGAAATACTGTTTGTCATATTTATAGGTTATGAAACAAGTGCATTCATATTGTTCATATGTATATTCCAGAATTCTAGAGCTCACCATCTTTCTTCTAAGCTGTATGCACTGTTTGAATTCCTGTGTG